AGACACGAGGTCCACTGACAGCAGCGATGTCCACATAACATTTAGAAACTGTCAGGGCGGATATATTTTGATGTAGTAAGGTGGACGACTATCTGATTTGGAACTGACTGCGACGAACCCTCAACTATTTACATCAAGATCCCCCACTCATGACTACATCAAAATATATCCGCCCTGACAGTTTCTAAATGCTATGTGGACATCGCTGCTGTCAGTGGACCTCGTGTCTTTCGGGGCCAACCCTGTCCTCTGCAACGTTAGTAGCTTGCATAACAGTGGAGGGTAAGAAGCGCTATATCACAGTTAGCTTACAAATCATGACGGTCCGAAGCTGTCCCCCCTGACCCAGTGGCATAAGCTAACGACTGGCAGTGCAAGCCGCTGGTGATCATGGGTTCGAATCCTGATGAATCCGATGGATGTGCACTACTGATGATGCCCAACAGGCTGAAACTGCAGTCTAGTGCTTTTCCCGCCATGTGGACACCTATCTGATTTCGAACTGGCTGCGACGAACCCTCAGTGACAAATAATTGTCTAAACGCACATAGTTGGCTTAATCCGGCTTATCGCAACAGCCTCAGCAAACCGAAGTAAGCGAGGATTAGCGCGACGTAACACAATCTTGAACGCTGAGCTTAGCTCTGTCTGGTGACCAGAGATCAAAAGCTACTTGCCTGCCGATGAAACCGGTAGTTACGCGAGCGCGGAAGTTAAGGTTGGTACGGAATCTGGGCAACTTCACGCTGAACCAATCTCGGCACATACTCCTTAATTCGGGAAGTCAGCCCTAACAGTTCTTCTCAGGTAACTGTTTTCGCAGTTACGCTTGACAAGATATAACCTAATTTGTAGAGTTTTCAAATTAAATTCCGCCTAGCAAGCTGTGGTTTTGATGAAAAACACGCTGAGCATGAAACACCGAGGAACCGGAGGCACTTTAGTGCTAACCTATGCTCCAGTGAAGTGGCTCTCAACCTGGGGGCAATTACTCTCAAGGGGATAAAATGGAATTCTACGTAGAGTAAATATAAATCCAAGGATTGGGTCATCAATCTGTCGCCAAACAAAATTAATAATAAAATCATCTGTAGCCATACGTTTAACGTACTGTCCAATCACTATTGATCAGAAATCAGTGACTAATCATTAGTGAGTGGTCAGTGAATTAGACAATTTTCAGTAACAATTTTATTGCTTAAAATACGGATACAATCCAGCATAGTAGCAAAGTTAGATGGTGCCTCTATCGGTTCGCTCGTCTATCCCTCTTATTTTGAGTCGGGTATTCGTTCATCTGGTCGAATTACGGAGTTAAGCGAACATTAAACTGGAAGCATAGGTCGGCAAACCAGGTATAGGAGCGACCGAATATGTACAAGGTAGCTCAAAACGGGCGGTTAGTGTTCAGGACGTATGCGTACAGAGTGCTGGTAGGAATCTGTCATCCGGGACTGACTTGGAAGGGATGGTTGAAAGAAATGAGAAGCCACTTACATTTGTTCATGTGTGGTCAGGGATCAACACCAAGGCAATGAACTGAATGAACTTCGAGCACGACTTATGATGTGTATTAGGTGAACCCGTACCAATTACATAACGAAAATTGTTGGAACTAAGCATTAGCAACCATCGCATTAACTTACATCACCACTTGAGTTAATAAAACGTTGCTCTGAATAGTTGTTTTCTTTATTTGAATTAAAAAACACTTACAAATTGTATTCATTCTCCATAGTTTGAAATAAAATGCGAATAGTTATTAGAAAAATAGCAGTTAAACTAAAAGTTTTTGGGGCAGTTGCTTATACTGAACCCGCTTTGGGGGTAACAATCACTGAAAGGTTGAGAACCACTGCTGCAATGAGTGTGCGGTCATGTAACCGAAGAGATTAAGTGAGCACCCCTTGCATACGCGTTTTTTATCTGAATTCAAATGATATCGTAGTTAAAAACCTAACCATTCACACAGTGAATTGCTGCCAGCAAAGAGGAGGTGTCTGGGGTCCGGCTTGGTAAGTTTTGGTTGGAATGTGCACTGTTATTGAGCCCCAGCGTTATTCCAGGATGTCGATTCACGCCGAGAATTTGCAGCAGGTCATTGTCTTTGGATATTGATTCATTTACAGATGAGAAAGACCACGAAAGAGCCGTACGTACAACGGGAGAAATTAACATATCTTAAATACAAACCGTTGAGTTGGAACATACCATTTTGTGCGGAAAAGCTAATCCTATGTATCAATCGAACATGCTTTAGAACATGGTGAACAAGAAATTTTGACACTGAGGTGACAACGTGACAGGATTCGACACATATACGGCACAAGTAAGTTCCAATCGAGTACGCTTATAATCATGCAGTTACTTTCAGCGTCCATAATACGCCAGTAGTAAATACTCTAGATATTGTAAAACAAACTCCATGGTGATACAGAAAACAAAAGGCATCGCATGGTCTTTTGCTGAAAAGTAGGGATTATCAAACGGATACAATTAAAACTTTAAGAACCAGCTCCCAAGTTCACTAAACAGTGCAGTGAATACGCATGAGGGCAGGTCCTGTTTGATGGAAGGTTAGCTGACATTGAGTATGGAGACGATATCGTCTTGTTGTTTAACGATGTTAGGGCAGCATAATCAATCCTGAATAGGCTCACTACAGTGGTCTCATTGTTTGGTATGCGCTTCGAACCTTCAGTGTTCAGTGTTGCTGCAGAACTACCAGCCAGTCGATGACCCCTTTGGGCCTTGATAACGAGGAACTCGAGATAGTTGATAGATTCACTTGCTTTGGCAGCTGCATCAAGGATGGGCGCATAAACACTGAAGTCAGTTCACGCACTGCAAAAGCCAGAACTGCATTCTTGAATCAGCTACATCTTTGGCGACAAAAATCAGTTTCCTTCCGTCTGAAAGGCCGTTTACAAGGACTCAGTGAGGGCCGTACTACTGTATGAGAGTGGGACTTGGCCTCTTCGGTCTGAGGATCTGAGGCGCACTCAAGTCTTTAATCATCACTGTCTGTGGAGCATTGCTGATGTCGGGTGGCACCAGCGCGTCCGCAACAATGAGACGCGCAGGAGAGTAGTATAATGTTAACTAATCTGGTCCCTCGGGACAACAGATAACACTGAATAAGCTGGCTGGATTGAGCACTAATTACGTATGCGCTGTCACTGCTTACCGAAGAGGGCCTTGTTAAGTCTGCCAGATGTAGGGTGGTGCAAGGCTCGAGGTAGACAAAAGTTGACTTGGCAGTGGGAAATGGAATCACCGACGACCCAATTCGGTGCCGTCGGTGCGTCTCGTCTTCTAGGCTGGAGTCCATGTGACTCGCCTTGTACTTGGCTCGAGACTTTACAGAACATGGCTAGCAGTCAAAACCAGTGGCGCGTCTGCTGCAGTCGCCTAGTCGGACTGGCTGTTTAAAGTGTGTTTGTTGCTTAGTTATCTGCGGGGCAATGGCTGATTATAGCGCAGGACAGTGAAAACCGTAAGGAAGCTGTCTAACCGATGCCGCATTTGCACGACAGCCAGTTATTTATGATGGTATGTTGTTGACATGATGTAGGCGTCTTGACCCTGAATGTTTGCTTGGGGCGCTAAGGTTTTCCGGTAAGTCTCATCCTCTTGCCATTCTTCGTTCCGTAGGTCGTTATGTTTGTATGGCAGCGAAGCACCAGTTCAACTGGCTGATGTACTGTTGTTGTTGATGATGATGATGGTGGCGAAGAAGAAGGTACGTAGCATGTCACACCAAAGACCAAACGGGTGTCCACCTAAACGATTTGTGAAGAGCACCTAGTAAAAGACTCTTGTTTAGACGTTTGGTGCAATGAACTTGTCGGTTTTTAGTCAAGTAACTGTAACCCCGCTTAGTAACACCCGAAACCGAAGTGTTTGAAATACGAAGCAAGCTTAGATCACGTGAACGTAATATTCATTAAAGTCAAGAGACTCGTTTTAACTTATTTATCTCAGCGCATCCTCGGTACCCTGTTTTCCGATCCTACGATTTATCACGGCGTGCGCATTACCCTATTGCACCTACTGCTCCCCAGTGATTCTCTGGCTTCTTGAGTAAGGACAGAGTAAGTACCAATTCAGTGAGGCGGTCATAGTGATTAAGCGACATTTCAAGGCCGGCAAATGTTAACGTTATTACATCCAATTATGGCAACTTCTGCAAAACATGTGCACCAATAATTCTGAATGATGTACTCACCATCTTCACATGACCTTGCTCGATTGTTTATCGAATTCCTCGACCAGACAGATGTTCAAATCCATATATGCCCATACCCAGGCATATGGTGTGCACATTGTCCCTATTTATCACGTTTCTCGATTGCTCAAAATTTAGCGAATCATGCGCTGGTGAACAAATTACCCCACAGATTTGGTCTTTCAGTATTTTTCAGTGTTTTTATGCCCATCATTTCGTAGCATTCTATTTCATTATTTATCCAGGTCCAGGGTATGTGTGTTTCAGCTGAATATTCACCATTCATGGGTGCATGGTATATTTTTTGACTTGGCTTTACAGCTATGCATTTACAACTTTACCGCCCCCTCAGTTAACGCTGATGCTTAGCTTAAAGAATCACCATTTTGTTGTGATCTATTGTATTGCTTCATAACTTGCTAATGTTTACACACAACTTGAAAGCAGTCAATGGTCAGCCACCCCTTTGTTTTGTGCCAACAGATTCTCTGCTTCGCAAAAGTTTGGCACTCGTTCCTAAGTAAACCAATTAATTCTATCGGCATCACGAACGTGCCAGTTGCTGTGTGCATGTTGGTGTGCTTGCAGCTACAGTCATGAGCGGAACGGATTCGTTGAGCTTACAGTCAGTCAATTCCGGCTAAGATCAGCTGACAATCCACGTGGTCTAGTCGATAATCAGCTGATCCGTAGATTGGCTCAGAAACGCAAGTCAGTTCCGTACTTTTTACACCCATAAGGAAATGGATCACAATGGTGTGGATGGACTCACTTTTACCCATCCGGTTTAGTTGTTCCATCGCCTCCAATGTCGGGGCATCCATGATAGGCCTCGGGAGCTGCAGAAATGGTCCACCGACGGTACTGTACTCCCTAGGGTGCGTCCGATATGTGTCCGTGTATGCGAAGGTTGCATCATCCATAGAAAAATTTGCAAAGAATACGGTATTAATATGCACTGAAGCAACAGTGATCACAAAAATGATTCATTGTTCCAAACGAGCAGTGTGTTATTCAGGTGGTGCGCCCATTTTGTCTAATTAAGTGCGTCCATGTGCACTTGTTCCTTAGCTTAGGCACACACACTTGTGACCGGCTGTTCGGGTATCAAAGAATGATCCATCGATTTGGGTTTACGCATGCAGGCACACACACTTGCGTGCATGTCCCGATGTAGCCTCACCGGATTCGCCAAAACCAACGCTGCGGGATGAGTGTGATACACGGGTTTCAATGTTTGGCAATTTGACCTGACCTGATTGATTTCGGCTGTGAACGCGTCACAACACCGGGGATATCGGATGGCAACAGCTTAGAGCTATGCGAAATACGGTGGAGACATTACCACCTATATGAACATCACACGTCTCTCATCCATGGACGTCTGGGACGACCATGTGATTTAGCTATAGAGCATCTACTACAGTAACATCTCCCTAAGTGGACCACTCAAGGGATTAGACCAGGGGTCAGCTAACTTTTACCTGGCAGGCCGGGTGACTAGGACAATGACACGCAGGCCGGATAACCGGCAAAAATAATTTGTGCGGGCCGCATAACACAAAATGTTTAGCGTAAACTCGGAGAAAGTAGACAAAGAAGACATGACACCGCCCGCTTTTCTTTTCTTAGTAGTCACTATGACGGTCGAGATACGGCGGATCGGGACAATAAAAAGATATTGGAAATCATATTGAAACAGAAAAAGTAGACCAGTGGTCATTCGTGGAACTACGGCTCACCAGAGGTACACGTAAAATTCATTGGCACTCTCGGTAAAATATGGTATAACGATACTTGCAACAAATTGATATGGTTGGCGGCTTCCGGTTTCGGATTTGCCTGTCACTGTGGCAAGCCACAGGACGCCTGCGCCTACAGAGGGACCATGGATGGCTTGCGCTGCACCACCCACAGCTCCAACCACACACCTCATATCCAGTGTAAACCCGAAGGAATAAGACCGGGAGGCATGCGGATGGGAACCACGTTTCATCAACGGAGCCGGCCCACACTCCTTCACAGACAAACACAAGCACACTGTATTTGGGGAATCAAGCGCACACAAGGCGGTGGCTGGACCGTAGTCCGCTCCACACTGAGTGCATGGAACCACTCTTTGATCCTAACACGGCCACAAGGACCGTGCACCCTGTCCCCTCCAGCAACGACCAACTGTCTCCTGGAGCCAGTATGGACGAGGTAGTGGGTAATAGACAGGTAGGCACCTTGTCAACATGCACATCAAGCGCATCCACACCGGAAATATCAAACAACAGCCAAACACTTAAGAGAGAGAGAGAAAGAAAGAAAAAGGGAAAAACTCGATTAATGCATAAGGAAACGGTGATATAAACCTTAATTAAATAGCATATGTAATAAGTTGTTTACAAACAAATCCTAGCTAAGTGCACGAGGTCAGGAAATATAGTTCACGGAATGCCACGAACACAAATATGCTAAGGAAATCGAATACAACTGGCTTAGGCGAGGTGTGCAAGTTAATGGAATAGAGTACTGGTAGACATTCATATGAGAGAGAAAAGCATTAAGGCACAAACTGTAAACCCACCACCTGAAATAAAGAGACTTAGCATGCAAGCACGCGGTTAGTAAATCGAATTCAGCGTGCCTACAAACGCTGCGCCGGCTCGCCGTAATTCTCTGCAGGACCCGTCGTCGCTTCTGTAGTGGCCCCAAAGGACCAAGCTCATGGCCCACTAGACATTTATATGAGAAAGAAAGGCATTAGGAGAAAATCGCAAACCCACCACCTGAAATAAAGAGATTTAGCATGCAAGCATGCGGTTAGTAAATCGAATTCAGCGTGCCTACAAACGCTGCGCCGGTGCTGCCTACGTTCACTGCTTGATATACATGTATATATATATATATATATATATATATATATATATATAGCGCGAACATTATTTTCGATAAATCTCATCAGACATTTACAATTATAGAGCAAAATTAGAAAACCGATTGGCTAGTGAAAGCCAGGTCTAAGTTAGAAAGAACCACGAAATCCACACAATCTATTGCTTCTCATGGCTGGCCATCGATCAATGTGTTAGTCAGTCGAAGTACGCTGCTCCGACAAAACACACACAGGAGGTGAGGGCAGACCGATCAGTGGTGACAAATGCTGGTCACATGTCATGTTTAGGGTGAGAATCTATCGCCAGCGTGCATTCATGGCCACGGTAAGACCAAGGTTTGCACTAGCATCCGTAGTTTGCACAGTTCTGGTTTCAAACCCTTGATTGCAATGGCCTCAGCTGTAGTTAACAAGCGTTTCTTAAGTCCTTTAGAATGTCCTTTCGGGATAGTATATATGACTTCGAATGAGTCATTTGCCTGAGTCTAGTGTCCTGTGTCAACCAAATGCTCAAGTATCGAAATGTTGATGTTCCTCACGCTGCCTTTTCGTTGCGAAGCCGGGCAGTGTTCAGCGTTCCTTTTGGCCAGGTGTCTGGTCGTATGTCGGAGGTACCTTGCATCTGTGGTGCATGGGAGGTGCCGTTCTCTGGTTAGCCTGAATTGTTTCTGATCGAAAGAATAACAATTTACGCTTGACATAGGTTTTTCGCCTAAAAATTCCATCACAGCATTGATGGCATACTGGTTCAGTATGACGCTCTACCGATTGGTCGGATTTAGAAATTTGGGCTAGCAAGTATGCGCCAAGAAGACAAACTGAACGACCAGATTTTGACAATGGAGCTTCATGGTGGTGACAGGTTGAAAATGACAAGAAGTCTATTTGCTCCCTTCTTATCATTTCACGAAGGGCACGGGCCAACCGACGTAGTGTGGGTGCTTGAGAGCGTTGTCACGTCGTTACTAAATGTCAGAAAGATGGGGACAAAAACACAACCGAAAAAGTGTCTTGGATTTGGTTTAAAAAATAGGAAGGAAATCTTGTCGTGTTAACCGACTGCGCCTTAGTGTCTGTCAACTTTGGTCATTGTTTCTTCCGGTTGGTGCAGTGTCTGGCCTCGGTGGATGGTTGTGTGTAACCGAGTTTGACGCACCTTTAGCATGCTGCTGATATTCACTTGGTACTCTAAGTTTTCAGTTTGAACCTGCATAAGAAACTAAACAAATCTTTTGTATACCTGGTCAGTTTCATAATGGAAATCAAACCTTGTTGAGGTAAGGTTATCATCTTGACTGTCTTACTTGAATGGTCTTGGTTTCCGATTTTACCAAATTGGATGTTTCAAGTTGGCAAACTCAAACATAAGTCAAAAACGCAAGGGTCACATCTGAACAACGTTTTATCTGACCTTATCCACTGATGGCTTAGTTGAACCACTTCGTGTATGCTTCGGTTGCAATGCAGTAATACGTTCTCTAAGCACTCTAAGCCAGATAAATGCCGCCTGGATGTACCGCGTGATCAGGAAGACTTGCTGCGATATAATCATTCTTATAAAGGCCCAGAAAAGAGTATCATAAGCAATAGAGTGCCCTTCATTTGTTTGCGTTCAGCACGACGATAGGGGTCAGGAATACAGCGGCTGCTAGTTGAGGTGACAGGTTGTTCGTGAACCCTCTTTTCATCCAGTGGCAGATCGCTTCTGCAGATCATGTAGTATCGATTTTAGGCATCGATACGTCTTAGACTGAAGCCCTAGAGGAAGTAATATTAGCAAGAGCAGGTTGACGTTTTGACATTTAATTTGTTTACGTTTCTCCAACCCTATAACACCCTGTTCACCTGCTTGTCGATAGCCCACTTCGACTCTTCTTTTTAGCTTGGAAGCGCCTCCGTTTGGATTAGGCTGAAAGCGAACCAACTAGTGAGATGACATGTATGCGTGAAGGATCTGAACTAAAGGCTGACTCTCATGTACATGGAGGTACGCTTCGAACAGCTAAAATGTTCATAGGCCCACTAAACAGAATTTATCCAGGGGTACAACAATTGTCATACGTTCTATACAGCCTGATGGCAACTGTAAATTTTTCCATATAAATTCATATTGAATGCAGAATTGTGAATCTGGAAGATTAGTAATGACCATATTCCTTGAAAATGAATGAAGTTGAGCACTGACTTGCTACCTAATACCTGTAAGAAAACGAGCTAGCCACAAGTTCACTAACGCTGAAGTGGTTGTGACAGCAACGATCGATCCTTTAGCTTCATTGACTGTGCAACAAAAGTAGGAAACATTGATGCTAATTCTATGTTGGGACGTCCTGACACAGCCATCCTCCAAGTGTTCGTTAAACGAGTGTACCACTTGAGGACGAATCAGAACGTTTAGCTGTTGATCAGTCAGACAATGCTGTCGGAATTTTCAAAACGAGTTTATAACCTTCCACATGACAAATTTGTCTTGTAGAAGTTTTTGTTCGGTGGGGGCAAAATCTGCTGATGTCTGATAAAAAGCGCGCCAGGCCGGTCCCGCTGGCCATGAACCTAGTAATTTGTGAAGCACATCCAATTGATATTCTATAATATTTCTTCACTGAATGGAAACGTTGGGTTCGCTATGGTAAGGCAGAGAAAACCTCTTCCTTACAGTTGGAGCACGCGGCTTCGCTTTTGCGAGAACTTCGGAGATGGAGTCATCAGCAGGAAAAACGATCATCCCCATCTTCTTGGAAGCAAAAACTATTGTGTTTATTGGCTACATCCCAGAAGGCCATTTATGGATGGAAACTACCATACGAACTTGCTGAGGCAATGACAGAAGAAGGTCAGATCGAAACATCGAGGAACATTGAGGGAAAGCATCCTATTGCACCAGGACAATTTTGCTGCAAGCAGGCTTTGGTTTCAAGGACTGTTCTGCATGACTGTGGCTTTGAACTGGTGGATCCCGATCCTTCTTTAGCCAATGCGGCCACGAAATCGTGGTTGTAATCTGCACGTTTTAGCCTACCTTCGTAAACTAGTG